GACTCGCTCTCCAGCACCATTTTGCGGAACTTGCGCACCGTGCTCTCCTTCATGGGGAACTGCAGCTTCTCCGAGTACAGGTGGATGGTGTCGGCGATGCCGTACTGCAGCGAGTAGCGGCCAATCTCCTCCTTCAGCTGCGCTGTGAACGTGTGTTTGGGCTTGCGACCGTCGCTCTCCTCCTCGCACTCCTGCAGCTTGCCGCGGCACGTCTTCATGTACTTCTTCACCACGCCCACCTTGAGGTCGCGGTTGAGCTTGGCGCTGAAGTGCGCCGTCGCCTCCTCAGCGCCGTACTCGAGCGCGTACCGACCGATCTCGTCCTTGACCTCGGGCGAGAACACGCGGTACGCCTTGATGAAGTTGCGGATGGAGCTGAGGCTCACCTGGCCGCCCAGACACTGCGAGTAATAGCGCGCCGCCTCCTGCTGGCCGTGGCGCAGCGCGTACTCGGCGATCTCGTCGCGCAGCTCCTCGCTGTACTTGATATACTTGCCGCGGCGCGAGCGTTCGTCGCGGGTGGCCTCGATGAGCTGACGTACCGCGTGCACGGTGCTGCTGGTGAGCTGCTGACGCTGGGCGGCGTCACCGGCGGCCAGCGGCGGCTCCTCGGTCCACCCCGGCCGCGGCTGGTGGTGGCTGACGCGCGCGCCAGGCCGCGCCGGCCGCCGCTGCTTGCGCTTCACCGCCCTCTTCAGCAGCTTCTTCTCGATGGCGACTGGCCGCAGCGGCTCCTCGCCGTCTAGCACGCCCAGCTTCTTGGCCTCCTCCGTGTGCTTGCGCTGGTGGATCCGGAACGAGATCTTGGAGGTGAAGATCTCGCTGCAGTGGCGGCACTGCGCGGCAGGGAGTCGGTCAGTGGAGAGGAGTCAGACTGGCTCAGTCAGAGCCGCAGTAACAGCCAACATTTCTAGACACCAATCGGTCACAGGCGCGGGAGGCGGCCGAGGTCGGCGATAGCAAATCATACGACAACGCATCCATGGAAGCTTCAAGCAACAGCAATTTGGAACAGCCAGCCGGAATTACTACTAGGGCCGGACAAAGCGAGGCTCTTTAAACACGAAGGTCGAAATCACAACGTTAATGAATATGCCCAAAGCACACAAGTGACATAAACCCTTCTCGAGTCGGCACTTCTACCCGCCACTCCTCCGTGACTGCGCCCGCGCCCGCCTCGCGCCCGCCTCGAAGCACGCTTCGGCGGCTCGCCGCGGGGGCCCACCTGTAGTGTGCTGCTCTGGAGCCGGCGGCGGGGGCGGACTGGAGCGTCCAGGGCCTTCTCCTCCTCCAGGATCGTGCAGTTCTCCTTGTCCTCCTCCGACACCGCACCTGCCCGGTCAGTGTCAACGTCACAGGGAAGGTCAGAACCGAAGTTGCGGTCATCTTCGTCATTGTTCAGTCAAGACCTGCTGACCACGAATGCCGGCCAGTCAACCCGTCATTCAGTGAAGTCAACTCCAGCTCTGTCCTACTCGGCAACGCTGACGAGTCAAGGCCAGCTCAGTTGGAGCCGGAGTCATGGCCGTCCAAGTCGGAGTCCGGCCGTCTAGGCAACGAAGCTGGGGTCGGCTACGTAAGAGCCAGAATTGTCACCAGCTCAGGAGTCGGAGCCGGCCCAGCTTGCGTCGGCCGCAGCAGGATCAGGCCGGCGGCCAAATATCGGAGATGGCCGGCACCGCGACACCGGGTCAACGGCGGCACGGCGTCAGACCGCCAACGGTGGCCGATGCCGCCACCGATGCCGATGTGGCCACACCCGCATCGGGCCCAGACGCATCGCGTTTGCGATGCCACGTGACGTGAGATCGTAACCACGTGCAATTATGATATACCACGATGCACAAGACTGCGTGGCGAGCCAGCATGACACCAGCAAAGCCCCCCAACCCCCCTTCCCCCAGCCGCCTGCAAGGCAGGTCGCGGACAGGGCGCCGGGGACGTGAGGCCGGCGGCCGCTGACGTACCGTTAGAGTTGCGGCCGTACATGATGTAGAACGGCGAGAAGCCGTAGTCGGCGCGTGGTGTGGCGTGGTAGCCGAAGAGGAAGGACTCGAGCTCCTGGTCCCACTGGTCGCCGTGCTGCTCCACGAATTCGTCGATCATTTCCGCTGGCGGCCATCCGGTGGGTGTCGGTCAACCAGGAGCGGAAGGTGGCAGGGCACGCGCGCATGACACGGTCACTACACGCGCCCGAGCGACGCGGTCACTACACGCGCCCGAGCGACACGGTCACTACCCTCACCCGAGCGATACAGCCACTGCCACATCCGAGCGACACGGTCGCTACACACATCCGAGCGACACGGTCACTACACACACTCACTACCACATTCGAGTGACACGGCCATTACCACACCCAAGGGGCACGGTCACTAACACACCCGAGTGGTACGGTCACTACACACACCCGAGTGGCACGGTCACTAACACACCCGAGCGACACGGTCACTACCCACAGCCGGGCGACACGGTCACTACCCACACCCGAGGGGCCACGGTCACTAACACACCCGAGTGGTACGGTCACTACACACACCCGAGCGACACGGTCACTACCCACAGCCGAGCGACACGGTCAATACCACATCCGAGCGACGCGGTCACTGCACACATCCGAGCGATATAGCCACTACCACATCCGAGCGACACGGTCACTACCCACAGCCGAGCGCGGACATCAGTGTTACCATGTATTACACTGAGAACACGACAGCTGGTTGGACCAACATTCGAGCGCACGTATCACGCCGGTTTGTTTCCGCCGGGGTAGGAGTGCACTTTCAGAGCAAAGCGAAAAACATGGGGATATCACCAAATACAACTCACAGTGAATGTGGGTCAATACTTGTAATGTACTATAACGCCAATGTGTAAATGCCCACCTGGCTAAAAACAAGCGGCGGTGCTCAGAATGATCGAGCACACTGTTCAAATAACTATGCCCCGAACGCATCAGTTATGAGGACAGCCGGCATTCACACCACTGAGCAGACATGGCGGCGGCGGCACTCACTTGCCCACGAGCACTCTGGCGACGACTCCTGCAGGGTGAAGACGAAGCTGTGCTCCGTGTTGGGCTGCTCCAACTTCTGGAAGATCTCCTGCATACGCTCAAAGCGGCCCTTGTACCTGTCGGACGCGCACCGAAGGCCGGTCAAGCGAACACCAGCCCGGAAGCTCAAGAGTGAAAACAAACCAATACCGAGGCTGACATCTCGCTTGCACATAACCACTGCACAAGAGCTTACAGTCTCTGAAAAACATAAAACGCCACAGGAAAAACGAAAAATTGAAAAACTATGCCACCCACATGTTGCGATCCCGTTTCGGATCTTTCGAGACCGCTCTCGGCGTCACCCGACCGTGGCCTCACCACCCACCTGTCCTGCATGGCCTCAAACTCGCGCTCGGTAACACCGACCAGCGCGCACTGCGCGAAGCCGAGCGTGCAGAAGGTGCGGAAGATGAAGTCGGCGAGCCGGACGCAGTTGTCGCTGGCGGGTACGGGCAGCGCCTCGATCCACCGCGAGACGGGGTCCACCAGGCCCAGCAGGTACTCGCTGCCGGACTCGGAGCGGTGGTACGGCCCGTACACGCGCGCCTCCACCTGAGACAGCATCGGGGTGCGAGGTCACAGTAGGCAAACACAGCGGTAAGGCACCCGACGGCAGGCCCGATCACGGACGGGACGCGGGCGACGTACGCACACTTCACGGGAGCGGGCGACGCCGTCGACATGCTCACTAGCAAGGAGGGGGAAAGGGCGTCGCAGACCAAAAGCAATCCGCGGCGATACGACCACTCACCGGGCCGTGATATGCCGAGCGCGCTACAACACAGCACCAGATAACTTAACGCTGCGACGGGACAAGCTGGTCAGTCCCCTACCTCTACAGGTCTATGGCATCGGAAACAAACCTCCAACCCATCCACCCCGACCGCTGCGTCCTCCACCGACGACGCCCTCCCCTCCCTCCTGACCACACCTCCCCTCCCGACCGGCTGGTCCACCGCTCACTGTTCCCCCCCGCCACCTCTCCGTCCCCGCCAAGCCGAGTACCTTCTTCCAGACCCGCGTGGCGCGGTCCGTCATGACCTGCGCCTTGGTGCGCGCCTCTGGCGGCGGCGCGCCCACGCGCTCCTGCCGCTGCGCCGCCGCCTGCTGGTCCGGCAGCGAGGTGATCTCCAGGCCCGGCGGCCGCGCCAGCTTCTCGGCCTCGAAGCACGCGCCGCACACGCGCACGTGCTGCGTCAGGTCGTTGTACACGCCGCGCCAGTAGTACTTGATGGCCGCGTACATGCGCTTCACGCCCAGGTGGATGCCTGCGGGCGAGGCCGGTGGGGTGACACGGGATCAGGTGGAGTAGATCGCTGCGGGATGGTGGTGGCCGTATAATGTCGCAACAAATTCGCACACTAGTTGGTAGCAGCGCCCATAATAAACCTCGGGCGACAGCCACACGATCGGGCCACGTATACAAATGACCCAGATAAGCCCAGAAATCGCGCATACTAGCGAGCCGACCCTGGACGCCCTCTGCTGCCACCCACCGGTGGCCGGGTCCACATGCAGCTCTTGGAGGATCTCCCTCTGCCGCATCTTGTCCAGCACGATGAGGCGCGGGTTGCGGCTGCCATAGTACAGCTGTCCATCCAGCACCTGCCGTGGCCCAGGCCAGCACCATATCACCGTCCATCGGCGCTCGTTCGAATCTGCCGCCTTCCTGACAACTGACTGATGTCTCGCGACGCATTTGGAATGTCATGCTTTGAAGTTATCATTTAGGTGCTCTTGTTCCCTCAGGCCTGAGTGCGTCCATCGGCAGCAGGTCAGAGCAACGAGTCTGATTTCATCGGTCTCTGAATCCATCACTGCGCAGTTTAAGCAGGCCACAATAGATAATAAAATATCGGTCCTTTCAGGACTGACATGAACAGCGGCACAGCGGCACAGCAGGTCCCTCCGGAAGAGCCGCACAGCCCAAGTGAGCACCCACCGCGTACTCCTTGAGCTTCTTCTTGAGACTCTTGAGGTTGGCCTCAGAGGAGTTGGCGGCCACGCCGGCCACCAGGTAGCGGTAGATGTCGGCGAAGAACTGCACCTCCGGGTCGTGCTGGTTCTCGGCCGTCATGAACGGAATGTCTAGCTGTATGGTGAGTGATGGCTCCACCATGCCCGGCCGGTGGTCCTGCGCAGACGAGCCCTGCAGCTCCACGCCCAGCGAGCCGTACTGGCCTGCGCGGGCACAGGCAGTCTTCTGGTTAGGCAGGGGACGACTGATGCTGTTAAACGGAGCACACGGCCAGGCAGGACAGCCAGCAAATCGCTGTGTGAAGCCAGCTCAGATGCCATAATTCAGATTAAAAATATTGGAGCGGAAACGCTTTTTAGCTATCCTCCATTCATCACATCGTTGTTAGCTCTGAACGAGTCTTCCTATCAATACGGACGCTGGCAACAGCACTAGGGCAAGAGAGAAGAACAACACATTCTGGACACAAGTTTCACTTACACCAACAGGCAAACCAACAGTCACATTAGTCCCTTCCCTGTCCCCAGGAAATGTGGATGATCTGCCAATGCGGGTCACATAGCACCACACCGTGCCCAGGGTATTGAAATGGAAGCCCCGATGGCGGCGTGGTACGCACCGGAGTCCCGGGCGCAGGGTACTGAGGTGGAAGCCCCGATGGTGGCATGGTACGCACCGGAGTCCCGGGCGCTGGGTATTGGGGTGGAAGCCCCGATGGCGGCACGGTACGCACCGGAGTCCCGTGCGCAGGGTATTGGGGTGGAAGCCCCGATGGTGGCATGATACGCACCGGAGTCGTCCGGCAGGATGGTGACGGGGTGACCGTCCATGTTGTGGTAGTCGGTGGAGAGCATCTGCAGCTCCTCACCGTCCGCGCTCAGGATCCGCACCACCTGCCGGCAGGTCAGGTCAGGTCAGGTCAGGTCACTTCACGTCCGGTCCGGCCAGATCGGGTCAGGTCAGGTCGGTCGGTCACATAAGGCCAGGCTGATACATTTCCGCCGCGAACTACGAACCAAGCTGCCATAAGACAAAGCACATACACATCTCCACATCTTAAAGATAAACAAATTTTACATTTGTATTTATATTGCACTTGAATAATTTCACCGAATCATTGATTTGATCCTAGCACACAACACACTGCACACCTGAATGAAGTTCACCCTCCCCCCACTAGCCACACCTGCTGCGCCAGCCCCCAGCACTTCCCCAGTAGTCCCGCCTGTCGCGCCAGTCCCCAACGCTTCCCCAGTAGTCCCGCCTGTCGTGCTAATCCCCAATGCTTCCTCACTAGCTACGCCTGTCGCGCCAGTCCCCAATGCTTCCCCAGTCGTCCCACCTGTCGCGCCAGTCCCCAATGCTTCCCCAGTAATCCCGCCTGTCGCGCCAGTCCCCAACACTTCCTCACTAGCTTCACCTGTTTCGCCAGTCCCAAGCACTTCCTCCCTAGCCAAGCCTGCTGTGCCAGTCCCCAGTGCTTCCCCAGAAGTCACGTCTGCTGCGCCCGGTCCTCAGACCGCCCTCCCCACTGGCCACGTCTGCTGCGCCTGGTTCACAGACCGCCCTCCCCACTAGCCACGTCTGCTGCCCCGATTCACAGACCGCCCTCCCCACTAGCCACGTCTGCTGCGCCATGTCCTCAGACCGCACCTGCATGGGCGCCTGCGAGACGTGGCACCAGTCCTGCTGGGGGCCGGCGTCCACCAGCTCAACGCCGCGCTCCTCGTCCATGGTCAGCTCGTCGGCGTCCACGTGCAGGCCGACCACGGACGGCGGCTCGGCCAGCTCCATGCCGCCGCCGGCCAGCGGGTCCATGGCGGCCGACGGCGCTCAGGGGCCGGCCGGTCGGTCAGCGGGCGTCCTGTGCCTGCCAGCACCGGCCACTGGTGAGGCGGCCATCTCAGGCAGGTGGAGTGGTGCGTGTGGGGATTGACTTGGGTTGTCAGGAACACAGAGTGCGGATGACACAAGATGGTTTGTTATTGCAAGACATGGGCTTTTAGTCGCTATTTGCCATTCAATGTTTACACTTTCTGGCTAATTACATTTTGATCATGTGATATACTGACCAAAAGTCCAGAGCCAGTCACATATAATGTACTGCTTGCATTAACAGTAGCAAGAGTAATAAATAATCTTATAATACAACAAAGCATATCTTAGAGCTTAAGAGATTTGTAGTAACAGCTACAAGTAGCCTCATCTAATGCAGATCATTGCACAAACAAAATATTACTGAACCAAACACTGCCACATGCTGTCAGCATTTGCATGCTCAGTGGCATAGTAAAGCAGAGGTGATGGGAGTGATCACCTCCCCTGGAGACTTCAGAGGGACCCAGGATAAGGTTCCCTGATCAGATCTTGGGAGGGCCTGCCAGGCCACACCAAACACTACATGCTGTGGTTTTCAGGTCTGGATTGTTTATGACCCATGGGAGGTTCAGGGGCCTGAGCTGACCAGAGCCCCTGAGCAGTTCAGGAACCCTGAGGGGATTGGGAGCTCTGAGGGCATCAGAGGCCTGCCGATCACCCATGCCCAGATATGCTCAGAAATGCTAAGGCAGATATAGGCCCTGAAATGGCCAGCCTCTCAGAAAATGACCAGGGCTTCTGCATCTGGTGAAATGGCTCCAGACTGCTGGGACCCCTGCATGACTGGCAAATATCCCCCTCATGACCACAAGTCCAGAGACCATTGACAACCACTGCATAACTAACGGACCCAACAGCTAACAGGACCCCATTAGAGGTGAAGGCTGTTGGGATATCCTCCATCTTATCAGGATTGTGAGGAGCCTCTCTGAATGGTCATTGGCTTCCTGCCTACTGGGGCCCCATACACCAGCAAGGGTTCCAATGGGAGTCTCACCATCCCTACCTATCACTGGCTGAGGACCCCTGGAACTGTTAGGGTTCCAATGAGATTGTCACCATTCCTACCTCTCACTGGCTGAGGACCCCTGGAACTGTTGGGGTTCCAATGGGAGTGTTACCATCCCTACCTCTTACTGGCTGAGGACCCCTGGAACTGTTGGGGTTCCAATGGGAGTGTCACCATCCCTACCTATCACTGGCCGTGGACCCCTGGAACTGCTAGGGTTCCAATGAGATTGTCACCATCCCTACCTCTCACTGGTTGAGGACCCCTGGAACTGTTGGGGTTCTATGGGAGTGTCACCATCCCTACCTCTTCCTGGCTGAGGACCCCTGGAACTGTTGGGGTTCCAATGGGAGTGTCACCATCCCTACCTATCACTGGCTGAGGACCCCTGGAACCACTAGGGTTCCAACAAGATTGTCACCATCCCCACCACTCACTGGTTGAGGACCCCTGGAACTGTTGGGGTTCCAATGGGAGTGTCACCATCCCTGCCTCTCACTGGTTGAGGACCTCTGGAACTGCTAGGGTTCCGATGAGATTGTCACCATCCCCACCTCTCACTGGTTGAGGACCCCTGGAACTGTTAGGGTTCCAATAGGAGTGTCACCATCCCTACCTATCACCAGCTGAGGACCAGGAATGGCTCAGGTTATGCATCACTGGTACAAGTTCCTTTGGAATACCTGGGCCTCACAATCATTAGGCATCTTTCCTGTGTGTGTCACATCCTATGCCCAATCATAATAAATGCCAATCAACACACAATTAACAAACAAAGGCCACCCATGCTGGGGTTGCAGTCTTTTGTGCATCTGCAACCTGCCAATTTGTCACTGAGGCTCAATGCAGGCCACCAGCAATGGGCCAGAATGGGCAGCCTGTGCCAGCATTAACAATCACCAATGCAATATGCACCTTGTAGTAAGCTCACCACAGCTTGCCCATGGAGGGACACTGCTTGTCTTGGCCCCCTCCCCTCCCATAAGACCAATATTGCAGGGTCATTACACTGTTAATTAGCAAAATGTCTCTGGTTCAGTATAGATGGGTCTTAAAGGGAGAACTTGATTATTTTCAAGGCTGCACATGGCTAAGTGGCCCCTGGGAAAGGAAGTAGACACTGGCAGTTGGAAGCCAACTTTCTTGAATACCTGGACATGACCCTGAAGGATCTTTCGGCCAATTTTGGTAAGACTAGAAAGAAGGCAGCAGAAACCTGAGGCGTCCCAATTTTGGGATGTGTCTCCCAACAACTCATGCTTGCCTAAGCCTGGGCCATATTCTGGCTATAACACTACTTGTCTCCCAGCATTCATTCAAAATGCTAGTCCTATGCATTTACTCGTAGATGTAGAACATTACAGGAATGGATGGGGCATAACCACCCATTTCTGTGAATGTTGTATGTTAGCCCTACAGCAAGCTGCTTTTGGTGACTTGTCCACACCTGTGACTTGCCCAAATACCTGCACCAATAAATTTTGAATGAAATAAAAAATGAGACACCTGTATAAAACATGTTGAGCAGTAAGAGAAAAGGCATTATTTTGCTATTCATAAACCCAAGGCATGCTCAATATGGTTTGCATGCCTAAATCAGATTCATTTTATTTTATTTTTATCAAGCTTTTATTTTATTTACAACATATTCATCAGCATGCCATATGAATTGCTATGCTATTGATCAAATGTGCCTATCTGTTTATGATGTGATCATTGTGCATCCCAAATGACATTGCAAAAGCAAGATTGTTATAACAGAGCAGATCAGCAAAAACTCATGTTGGCTATTAGCTGTCCATATCATGTCATGCATGCAAGCAATTTAGACCAGTGACAATCATACATTTGAATATGCATGGTGTCAGAATCGTCAACAAAGTCATGGGCAAGCGTTAATGTAGGCTTGCGTACGTCGCAGCCGACAGCTACATGCCAACCGAGCCCAATGCACATCATCAAAGCAGTCAGCTGTGTTTACAAGTGCAAAATTAATGTCTGGCAAATAAGTGCAGCTTAATGGACACACAAGAATACCTAAGACTGTAGACAAACCCCAGCCGGCCATGCTGTAGAACTATGCCCACAACCACCTCCCCCTTCACCCCGAGTACCAAAACACCGATGCGTGCAATATGGGACACAGCGACAGCGAACGCTAAATAAATGGTCGGCATATTTTACCATGTATTATCCAGCCAAAATAAAACCCAGTAAAATGGCTTACCACTTTCGCGGAAACACCTTGGGGGGCACCGAAAGCCTTTTGTCAAACCGTTGTTATATAATGGCACAACTTGCATCGAGTTAAGGCAGGATAAGTCCAAAGCGCTGACGGCTAACTCCTTCGTCTGAGAAAATCACCACGGTACCCCCGCCGCCGCCATCGCTGCTGTAAGTTCCTGTCAATTTCCTCAAGGTCGATGACGTTAGCGAACACCTCTCTGTTATTGGTCGGCTTGTTTGTGACTTAAAACCGAGCATTGGTACGTCTAAAGGAAAATCGCTACTTTAAGATAATAATAGAAATTGTTTCGTTCCAAAAGGTGTGATAAACACTTAAACACAGAATGGTTTAAACCGAAAATATTATTTCGCTATTCTATGAAAAGAACAGACGTGCAATCAACTACTAAATACAATGCCCGCGCATGACGCGTACCTGGAAGCTATTACTGGACCATGAAGCAGCGGCGCAGTCAATGATGGGGAAGGGGGATAGAGCAGCTTGTGGATTTTAGCCGCCCCGTCGGGTTCTGGTGTAGTTTTTACCATCACTGAGTGGTATCATTATGGACTCTGGTGTTAAGGAAAACTGTTTTGGTTAAATCTCGAGCGCACTACCATATAAAGTGACGTGAAGGGTCTAACAAGCATAATTGGGTACACAATTAGTGGATAGTCGAGTGAATACACGCAGGACGCAACTGAAACAATTCAGAGCTGAAATTGAAAACGAACATCAATTTAGTTACATGAAAACCACGCAGCTGAAACACCGGTGCGTATGCAAAGTCGAGACAAAAAGATGCAAGTAAAACACTGTAAGTAGCTTATCTTACGAACGCTGCATGATGCATGCTAAATACATACAAAGCAGGGCAATGGCAGGTTCTAACAATGGGCAGACCAAATGATGACACCTGTGAAAACATGCAACATGGTTGCGTTTGGCAATGTTTTGCACTAATGACGGGGTCAGAATGCACATTCGCGACCAGCTGATTCATGCGCAGTTAGGATGCGCCCACTTTGCACAAAGTTCATTTATTAAATAAATAATTATTGTACATTATATATTCATAAAGCTCGTTTGTAAATTTACAGATGATAGGTATTTTTCCTGTGACCTCATTCCTTCTGAAACCCTTGGTACCAAAATTGGCTAAGAAGTAAGGGTGCTGGAGAAAGCGCATCGAGCCAAAATAATCTTTAAAGAACGTGGTTAAAATCATACAAGCTTGTGTCTCAATACCTGAGCAACTATGAATGCCTGCTATGGACTTGGGTACCACTATGGTAAAGTAGTGTAGATGAGCTATTCAGCCTTCATCTCACATCAACCGCGCTGATGTTTTCCTGGCTGGTTGACCTAGATCAGTTGAAATCTCAAATTTTGCATGCCTTACGAAATAACGTATCCATGCGTGTGTAGATGAAAAGCGATTATGCAGACCCTGGGTTTCTTCATCACTACCTCATTTGACCAGGGGCGGATCCGGAGGGGGGTGCACGGGGCCGTGATACCCCTTGGGCCCCGAAGGCACCCATTGGCCTCAAGGGGGTCCATAGCAGGCCGAACAGGTGCAGTTTTTTTTTGCACAAAACGCAACGAATTTGGACATTTCTGGATTTTCGGGCGACCAAGAGCAGTTGCAAGCGAAAGTAAAGGGCCCACGAGAAGCCCCCCAAAATATCCAAAGATTGAAAAAGTTATGAATTGGGAATTCTAAACGGGAATTCTAATTGGGAATTCTATTGGCTGCTCAGGGGCCCTTTACCGACAAACTCCCGATGTACCCAGGAGCTCTCTGCATTTGTCAAGGGCGCTTCCAATTTTTTATAACTTGCTTGGGGCCCTACGCTCTTGACAGGGGCCCGTCTGGTACCCTGCTTGAGCACACTCGGCCGCTCGGGGACCCTCCACATTGGGTCTTAGGTACTTCTTATCTGAATGGGGGGGGGGGGGAGGTTACGCTCTCGCAGGAGGCCTGTCTCGTTACCTGCTCGGGCACTTATGATCGTTCGGGACCGTCTTCATTGGGTCCTGGGCACGTCCTTTTTGAATGGGAGCCCTACGCACTTGTCGGGG